GTTCGGACAGCCCCCATCCTCGGTACCGGCCTCCCGGTCGGCCCCAGCCCCTGCCCCCGCCCGCGCCGCTTCCCGGGGCCGCCGGCGGTGCCGGAGTGACGTAACCGCCGTCGCTGCCGCGGTGCCGTCTGGGAGTTGTAGTCTCCGGCTGCGGGGCCTCGGGGCACGCTCTCAGCCCCTAGAGCCCTGCTGCCGGCCTCGGGCGGTAGTGGGGACGCCGCGGGGCCGAGGCAGATAAGCCCAGACTCGGACACTCCCTCGGACCCGGTGGAGGGAGACCGGCACTCCTCACAGACCCTGAGGGGGCTGCGGCCCAGGCTGGGGTTGACCGTAACGGACGCGCTTAACCAAGCGAAAAATAAGAGCTGCGTGAATGACGGTTACTATCCAGAGCGGCGAACGCAGCCTGGACGAGGTCCCTGCGGCAGGACTTCAGCTGGAGGCCACCGACCCGAGAGGCACGCTGGGAAATGTAGTCTGCCTTTGGGTCGGGCGCTGGCTGAGGCGGCCCCCAAACCACGGACTTCGGGGAGCCGGTTGGTGGCTGGAGCAAGCTAGGGGGTCGTGCTGCTGGCGAAGCCTCTGCAGGGAAGACGGGGCTGGGAAGATGTGTTTACTGTCCCTGGGGATGTCACAGCCACGTCTCCTTTTCCCACCAGCTCTGGTTTCCTCTGCCTCGCAGTCAGAGCTCTGCGCTCTAGAGAATCCGCCACCTCGCATAAGATGTTTCATATTTGGGGTGCTTAATGTACATCTTGTGCTAAGTGCTTTGCACACATGGTATCATATCTTCAAAGAGAGCCCCATTTTACAAATGACTCGGAGAAGTGAAGTCACTTATCCAAAGTTACAGAACTATACAGGAGTTGCCTCTTTATCCGCAGGAAATACGTTCCAAGACCCCCAGTGGAGGCCTGGAACCGCAGAATAGTACCGAACCCCTATATACACAGTAAATGGCAAAGCAAGAATCAAAGGCAATTTTAAAAATTAACAACCACCACCATGACTTTAAAACACTGTCTTCCCATTTAAAGAATGAGGAAACTGAGTCCTGCAGAGGTTCAGTGACTTGCTCAAGATCCGTAAGCTTGTATGAGTAAAAATTCTGGGTCTTTTCACTTGGTCTCTTCTGAATGATCTGGGGGTCTGCGGCGAGGAGAGAAGAGAGGGACTGTGATGGGCGCTGGTGCCCAACCTCCAGCGAACTGCCCCACGGGCTCCTGAGAAGTTGTTCCGCTCTGAGAGGGACATGGTTACCTGGTCTCCTGGCTGCCTTTCGAGGAAACGGAGGACCTATCAAGAGTGATTGCTGGAAGAGAGAGGCCCGGCTTCATTATGAGTGCAGGCGTCTATATCCTAATATATGCGTTCTTGAAAAACCTGGCCTCCTGCAAAGCGGTGCACTAAAAATAATAAGACTTTATGGGAAAAATGGAGTTAGGGATAACTCAAAACGTATGCAACCTTATAATCAGAGCGCTGCAAAACGAGTAAGGATCCTAGCAGAAATACCAGCACAGTGAAATTTCCACGGGCGTTTGTGCTTCCTCCTTGGAAATGCTGCTCTGGGGATATTAACTCTTGATGGAGACAATTTTCATCAAAATTAAAAATGTGATCCAAGGTGTAATCTTCATTAATCTGTTTTAATATGAGAGAATTATCTTTGCAGTTTCTTCATCTGCATTCACAGCTTTGCCATATGGCATCACGTTTGGCAAGCGTGGTGGTCTTTGAAGCCACTAACCCAGCCACTATGGGTCTAAAGGAAGACACTTCTGTAGATTTGCAGCTTTTCCCCGCTTAAGAACTTTTTTTTTTTTTTTTTTAAAGATGACCGGTAAGGGGATCTTAACCCTTGACTTGATGTTGTCAGCACCACGCTCAACCAGTGAGCCAACCGGCCATCCCTATATGGGATCCGAACCCGTGGCCTTGGTGTTATCAGCACCACACTCTCCCGAGTGAGCCACAGGCCGGACCTTAAGAACTTCTTTTATTACTAATCTTCCCCTTTAACTGTGAGAAAGCTTACCCCTGACTGCTTCAAAACATTAGCTTCCTGGAGAAAACTGCATATTAGCCAATACGCTTGGGTTATGCTGACATCATTACTGTTTAACAATCGTTTATGGGGTGACTCATGTCAAAGAAACAGGAGGGCAGTGAAACAGGGTGTCTCCAATCAGGGCCTTAGACTTGGGAGAGGAAAGGATTCTCGCTTGGTTGTAAATCTGGGTGGGCCCTGCAATGGTAATACAGAGGGATGGAATGGAACTCGTCAATTCCATAAAAGTCTTTAGGATTGTAATGAGTAAATTATTAATTTTGGGAGAATTTATGTCTTTGCAGTATTGAGTCTTTCATCCTTGGACATAGGCATACTCTTCTCCCAGGAAATTCTGTACATGCTTTCTTCAGTTCACTCACTGGGACTTCATTGTTTTTTACTTTATTTCTGGCTGGGATTTTATTTATTTATTTTTCTAATCGGTTATTGCTGTTGATTTTTAAAAATGCTGATCTTGAACCTTGCTACCTTGTTGAACTCCTTCTTATTGCTTTAGAATAGCTTGACAGATAATTCTTCTCATTTTTCTAGCTAGATGATCCTGTTGTGGGGAAAAAAAAAAAAATCACAGTTCAGTTTCTCCAAACTTTATAACTTATTTCTCATCCTCTCCTCTTCTTTGGCTAGGAATTCGAATACAGTGTATTTTGGGGGGTTTTTTTTCCTTTAGTTTTTGTTACAATTTTGAATGATAGTGATATTAATGGGCTTGTCTTTTTCTAGACTTTTAAAGGAATGATTCTAAGGTTTCAGCATTAAGTATGATGTTTTCAGTAGATTTCTAGTAGAAGTAGTAGAAGTCCATTATCAGTTCTATTCCATTTGCTAAGAGGTTTTCTGAAAGCAGGTGTTGAATTTTATCAAATGCTTTTTATGTACATATTGATGGTTTTTCTGCCTTTAATGTGTTGATGTTGAACTATCCTCCTTCTCCCTTTCACGATTGTTGGGGTTGATTTAATAATATTCATTTGAGATTGTTTTGCCTTTATTTTCATAAATGGAATTTGTCCATGGTTTTCTTTCTTGTGCTATCCTTGCCCAGTTTTGGCGTTAGGGGAATGCCAGCCCTATTCAATGAGTTGGGGAACCAACTACCCTTTTCTGCGATCTGGAATGGTTTGTGAAATATTGGAATTATTTGTTCTTTGAACATTTGGTGGAACTTTACTGTGAGACCGTCCATGCTTGGTGCCTTTTTGGTAGATCTTTGACTGCGATTTCAACTTCTTCTGTGGACATTGGTTTATATAAACTACACCTGGGCATGTCACAGTCAAATTGCTGAACCAAATATGAGAACATCTTAAAAGCAGTTGAATAAAAAAATGACACATATACATGGAACAACAATAATAATTTTAGCTGACTTATCAGAAATAATGGAGGCTATAAGATAATGGAATTAATGTACTCAAAGAAAAAAAAACAAGAATTTTATAGACAGTGAAAGTGTTCTTCAAAATGAAGGTGAGTAAGAACACTTTCTTTTTTTTTTTTTTTCTTTTTAAAGATGACCGGTAAGGGGATCTTAACCCTCGACTTGGTGTTGTCAGCACCACGCTCAGCCAGTGAGCAAACCGGCCATCCCTATATGGGATCCGAACCCGTGGCCTTGGTGTTATCAGCACCGCACTCTACTGAGTGAGCCACAGGCCGGCCCTGGAACAACTTTTTATAACTTATTTTTCCCTAGAAAAATATCTATTTTATCTAGATTTCAGATTCATTGGCATGACTTTGTGTATATTATTTCTTATGACTTATTTGTATCTGAAGTTATATTTCCTTTGGCTTTCTTGATATTTATCTATTCCTTTCTTATTTTTCTGGATTAAACTTGCCAAAAATGTGATCGTTTTATTGGCTTTTTAAAAATCAGCTTGTTGTTTTACAGATAATCTCTTCTAATTATTTTGGGGGGTACTATATTTCATTATTTCCTGCTTTAATTGTTATTAATATATTCTCCCCCTGCCCCATTTAGTGTTTATTGTTATTCTTCACAAATGTCTTGTGGATCGATAGGGTGAATTCTTAGATTAGTTTTTAATTTTGTTTCTATTCTAATTGGAAACTTACTTTTTGTTAGAATCTTTAGTTTACTATTATGTAGAGGAATGCTATTCATTTTTCCAAGTTGATCTTTTATTTGGTCAATTTGCTGAATTCTCTTATTAGTTTAATGATTTGGAGTTTCTGTGGAGAATATAAAAATCCAATCCAGATAATGACCATCTTGTCATCATCCCTCCCAACCCTTCTATACATACTTATATTGACTTATTGTAGTGGTCAAGACCCCCAGGAGTGAACAGTAGTGGTGATAGTGGCCAGCTGTGTCTTCTTCCCAATCTTAAAGGAATGAGTTTAAGATTTCCTGTTTTTTTAATTTTTAATTTTTAATTTTTTAGGCTTATTTATTTATTAATATTATTTTTTTACATTTTATGATGTTGTTTTAGAGCAGTTGTGGGGGAGG